CCCAGCCCCCAGCATGGGGAGACAGCTCTTCCAGTGCCAAGGAGGGCGGTCCTGGATCCTCCAGTCGTGCCCCGGGTTCCTCCAAGTCTCCGTGGACTCTCTCCTGTAGGCTGGGCGCTGGGTTAAGCGCTTTGTGTATACCTTCTCCCCTAAGGCATTCTCTGCCCTCAGCTTCCCACTCTGTAAATTGGGGTGATAGCAATACGACCCCGTAAGTGGCTGTGAGTGTCCTGCCGCCGGGACATAGTCAGGCCCCATGACGTCAGCCTGTGGCACCCCCACGGCAGACCCTGTGCCCCCCTGAATGGCTGGTCAGTCCTCTCTCCCTGCTGGCCTCCTGAGCTCCTCGAAAACCATGGAGGGGCCTTCTCCTGCCCCCACCCTGCTCTGGCCTCCCGTGGACACTGGCTCAAGGATGTTTCCCTGTCACTTGAGAATCCTTGGTGCCAACTGCCCATGCTTACTGGGTGAAAATCCAACATTGTTTTTAAGGGAGAACCTCCCCGGCTCTTCTTTGTAGTGCCACGGTGGGGTTTCTGGGGGGCATCTCTTCGGATGGCAGGTTTAGGGCCGTACTCAGGGGTCTGAGTTGGGTGGGAAGTGTGGCCCTGTCCCCTCTGCCCTTGGATGATGTGCTCACCTCTGTGGCCTCAGTTTCCTGAAATGTCTCAAACAGCCATTGCAGCACCCACCTCGGGTTGCAGTAAGGTTGAAGTCCAGCCTGTGGGACACCACAGAGCTTTGTCCACGTGGTGGGTGTGGGTGCTTGGCTCCATCGTCCCCAGCCCCACACTCTTCCGTGCTGTAGTCACCCCACAGAATGAAGCCCACATCTCCCCAGAATGCACGCATTCTCCAGCGATACCGGGCCCTGGTGGTGCGCCAAGCCTGCGTCACCGCCCCACAGAGAACCCCTGGCCCCTGCACCTTGGTGGGGTCGTCAGAGCCCCCTCCCCCACTGACAGCTGTGGCCTTGAAGGGGGTGACACCCTCTAGGCGAGCTGACAGTGGGGGCTTCCCTGTTCCAGAACTACATGACCCCCCTGAGGCTGGTGCTGAGCCCGGCGGACATGACAGCCATCTTCATCAACCTGGAGGTAAGGGTCCCAGCCCATGGCTCAGCGCCTGCAGCCTCAGGCTCCTAACCAGCTCGGATGTCAGGCAGGCTCCCACCCGACTGTCCCTGCAGGTCCTGGGGAGCCACATCCCTGCCAGGTGCATAGTTGGTTGGTGCTATGGGGTGCTTTTCGGACTGACTGGTAGGAGGGGAGTAGCCACCCTTCCCTCTGAGAACTCTGGCCTCAGGAGACAGGAGGACAAGGTTTCTGCAAGCTTCTCCAGCCTGTTGTCTGTGCTGTGGGTGTCGCTCAGACACACATGCCCTAGAAGAGGTTTAGGTTTTTGTCAGCAGCCGGAGAGAAATGTGTCCCCTCCAGCTCTTTGAGAAGGGCCCCCTACCCGTTCTGCACACGTCTGCACACAGACACGGGAAGGTGATGGCCTCTGAGAGGCTCACCCTGATGTGGTCGGCAGAGCGGGGAGGGGTTGGTGGGAGGCTCCAGAAGCTGCACACAGGTGGGCTTCCTCCAGGAATGCCTGGTGGGAGCAGTGGCTCCTGCCCGCCTCCCGCGGCCCCCCGTGAGCTCGAGGGGTGGGTGCTGGTCTCCCGGGGGAGGCTGAGCCAGACTCAGGAGGTTCTAGTGCTCTGTGCCCCCTACCTGGAGTTTGTCCTGCCGCGTGTGGTGGCCAGCACAAACGGCCTTGGACAGAGTGGGAGCCGGACCGGGAGCTGTGGGGAGCCCCGGAGTGCTGCCTGCTAGTCACCCGGCTACTCTGAAATGTGGACGAACATCTGTCCCCACAGAGAAAGTCCGCCTCCAGAGTCCCAGACCAGGGCAGAGCGCCCCTCTGCGCCTGCACACAGCAGGAGGGTAACAAGGATGCTGGGTGGCAATAGCCACCCACGGCCATTGCAGTCCCATTCTGGCCCCGGGGCCTGCTCTGGGTCGGCCACCCTGTGTCCGGACAGGCCGAGCAGGTCCCTTCAGGAGCCCGGTACTGCAGCACCTTCTAGTGGGATGAGACCCTGGTGTTTGCATGGGGATGTGCGCCTGGCACCGGGCCTCTCACACGCGTATCTGTAATCGCACCAGGAGAGAGCGATTCAGGGGCGCGTGGCCCTTCCGGCCTGGCGCACCTGGTCACGCACAGACTGCTGGTTCTTTCCAGGACCTGATCAAGGTGCATCACAGCTTCCTGCGGGCCATTGACGTGTCCATGATGGCAGGGGGCAGCACTCTAGCCAAGGTCTTCCTCGATTTCAAGGAAAGGTGAGTGGCAGGCCCGCCTTGCCTGTCCCTCCCATCTGCAGGGCCTCAGGTTCTGCCCTGGGGATGGGGCTGAGCTGGCCAGTTGGGGTTTACTCGGGTGTGAGTCTCATGGTGAGGTCCTGGAGGGCCGTGGCTGTGGCCCCGCGAACCCCTTACTTGTAAACCAAGAGAGCTGCCCACCCTTCCTACCATCACAGCCTAGAGGGGTGACCTCCCCACCAGCAGGGTCTGGATGGGCGGAGGCCTCCACCAGCTCCCTCTGCCTCTGTGCGCCAGGGGTGTTGGTGGCCCAAGGGCGTTCTCACCAGCACAGTGCACCTGCTGCGTGCCCACCCCATGGGCATCCCGCACCTGGGAGAGTCTGCCCCTCAAGCTCTAGGCCTGGGTGGGTGGGGGCATGTGGCAGCCGCTTAAAGACAGAAGCCAAACCCGCCCCTGCAGGGCTGAGTGCAGTGCTTCCAGGGCTCTAGGCTTCCGGGGTTGAGGCCACTTCCCTGCTTCCTTGTCTGCATCTGTCACAGGACCTTGACTTCCTAATCTGTCCCTTAGGGACAAGGATAGCATCTCTGCCACGTGGTGCCGCCAGGGTTGCCTGTGCCGCCAACACGGCTTGTCTGTGTCCACTGAAGGGCTTCAGTGGCCGGGCAGGCGGAGGGCCTGGGCCAGGTGGATGGGCTGGGGGGCGCACAGCGGCAGCTGGGGGCACGGCCACTCGGCCGCCCTGGCATAACCCAGCCCCAGCCCCCAGCATGGGGAGACAGCTCTTCCAGTGCCAAGGAGGGCGGTCCTGGATCCTCCAGTCGTGCCCCGGGTTCCTCCAAGTCTCCGTGGCATCGGGGCCAATGTCCATGAAGCCCAAGGGGACGTGGATCCTACACATCAGGCAGCCTCTCTCCTCCCCCCAGCGTCCAGCTGGTCAGGCCGAGTCTAGATGCACAGATGGCCCTGGCCTGCCTACGGCCAGAAATGCGCCTGCAGGAATCGTGCCCCTGAATGCAGCTCCTCTGACCGTCTGGGCCCCTCGTCAAGAACAGGTGTTGTCGATGGAGGAGGGTGACAACTCATTAGAAACCAACACAGGGTCCTTTTTAAAGAAGAGTCACATCGCTGTTAGGAGGCCTCCGTGAATCTATTTGGTTGTTGGCTTTAAGCTCCTCTGCCTGTAAGCCCGGTGGGTGGAGAGGTATGGAGCCACCTTCTGTGCCCCGAAATGTCCTGCCGAAGCCTGGCAGGGGAGGACTGGGGTTCTGGAAGCTTTAAGTAGGTGCAGCTGTCAGGACAGCTCTGCTGTCTCCACCAAGGCCTTGGCCCCCAAATTCCTTCATGGAGCCTGGACAGCCGCGTCTTTAAAGCTGAGGACAAAGTCTGATGATGTGAGGGCCCGGCCGGATGCCCGGTGCTGCCGGAGTCTCGAGAGGTCCATCGGGAGATGATGCCCTGTCTTCTCTCCTTCAGGCTTTGGAGAAGGCGCCAGAAGGTTCTGTCTTGACAGCTCTTCTGGCCAGCTGCTCATCAGAGCCAGTTGGGAGCTTGTTAAGAATGCCAGTTCTGGGCTCCACTCTGCAGGGTGGGAGGGGGAGGTCCCCAGCAGCTGGTTGGGAGCCTGGGTCCATCTCGTCCTCATCTGCGGGGAGACTGTCAGGTGACCGTCAGCTCGGATCATGTGCCCTCCCGGTCAGGCAGCCCATCCCCAGGCTGGATTCCAGATGCCCCCGCCTATGAGCCCCTGAAGGCCTTCCCCTGCATGCCCTGTGACCCAGGCAGGGACCCCTGAGCCCGCTCTCTAGGGGCCATGGGCTGGGCATCATCAGTAGGGAGGCGTGAGGGAGCAGGAAGTGCCCGATGCAGGGGGCAGTTTGAGTCCGCTGGTGGGCCCCAGGGGCCAGGAGAAGGCTGGCTCCCTTACCTGCCCCCTGCCCCAGCAACGTTTTCCTCTCACCTGGCTGCAAGCCCTTGTGCGGGGGGAGTCAACTCAGGCTGGAGCTGTCAGATGCCCCCTCGCCCTGGTGGCAGGCCCATCGCATGCTTCTCCTCTATCCTGGGGACCCCAAGCAGGGCTGCTTCTGAAGCCCGTGGACCCTCCCCCAGGGCAGTAGTGGCAGGCCGCGTGGCCAGGGTACTGAAGGACGACCTGCCCTTCCCTGGGAACCTCCGTGTCCCAGGCCTGCCCTAACAAGGCCACTGGCCTCTGCACACAGCTTTGGGCCTCACTGGCTCTCAGGCCCTGCTCCCACTGGGATGACCATTGTTTCTGCCCAGCAAGGCCTCAGGGGCCGGACCCTTGATTCGGGGGCCACTTGGGGAGGGGCCTGGCTACATCCCATCAGAGTTCATGTGCCCAGTCCCTTAGTCTGTCTCTGTGTCCATATTTTCTGCCCCTTTGCCTCCTTATTTCTGAGTCAGCACCTATGATCCTGCAGTTCATCTACATACCGATTCCACAAGCATTTATAGAGTGCCTGCTGTGTACAGAACAGCCTTGGCTCTCACTGGGCAGGGAGGGACAGGAAGGGACAGGAAGCGAGCTCACAAAGGAAACGAGAGGACGGGAAGAGGGAGAGGAACAGGGTGCTGAGGACAAGGGGAAGAAGCAGCAAGCCGTGAGGTGCGGGGAGCAGAGCTGCTGGGAAGGCCCCTGGGTGAGGCTGGAGCAGGACTGTGCGGGAACCCGCAGAGGCCGGAGGAGCAAGCGTGAATTGGTCAAGAGGAGATTGTCTAAAGCCTGGCTTGAGGCTTCTGTAGGAGGCTGGAAAGCCAAGAGTTTAGATTTTTTTTTTATAAGGGCAGGAGGAAGCCACTGAGGAATTCTCATGGCAAGATCCTGGCAGCTCATCACAGATGGAGGCTAGAGTAGCATCCAGGTGTGGTATGACCAGTGCCAAGTGGCAGAAGAAAATCACCTCCCTCTTTTTGGAGCTAATACTTCCATTAATACAACCTCAGTCCTCAGACAAGGCAGATGCTCCTCTTAGCCTTGGCCTGAGGGGACAAGTCCCGCGCAGTAGGAAGTGGGACTTGGGGAAGATTTGCATTTTGCAGATGTGGATGTAACAAAGAGCCACGTGGTTTTTATCTGTGGCTGGGGTTGGCCAAGCTGGGTCAGTGGGTCAGGCTAAAGGACTACCAGTGGAACTGGCCACAGGGACTTTATGGTCCAGCTAGAAGGCAGGGGTCTAGCTCTTAGCAGGAACTCCCTGGAGCTTAGCACAGTGCTTCTAGGACTGGCAGCCATCAGAGCGAGATGAAAGGCAAGTCCCCGTCCGCCCGAGGACCCAGGAGTGTTTAGAGAGAAGGGCTTTGCCACAGCTGAGCGCTCTGTGCTCTGTGCTTTCTGGCTGCTCAGGGTGTCGGGCTGGGTGATGCTGGCCTCTGGTTGTGGCTCTCGCCCGCGGGCTGGGGTCTCAGGGAGGCTGGGTGATCCCCGTCAATGCTTGCAGGAAGAGAGCCCACCCATATCCAGGCTCCTCTAGCCCCTGTGAGGTTCTGCACAGAGGCCTCATCTGGCAGGGCTGCCTGGGACCCTCTGACCTGAGAGGCCTTTGGCCCCACTCCTCCCAAGCCTCCTTGCCCAGATGGGGAAATCAGGGATTGGAACAGCTTTGGCGACTTGGCTGTGGTCCCGGCTCAGTCCCATGTCGTCCGTGCCTACCCGGCAGCACCCCCTGTGTCCGGGCCCCGGGCACTGTGAGAGTTTGGAGTTCTGTGACAGGACGGAGTGATGCAGCCAGGAGATGGGCAGGTCGTGCCCCCCGATAGGTGCACGTATGCCCCCCTGTAGTGGGGTCTGAGTTGCGTGTTCAGGAAGTTACACGACATAGTCATACAGACACACACCACGCTTGCATCAAATACCTGGCCGCTTGTGAGGGAGGGACCCAGAGGCTGATGCCACGCATTCGGAGGACGGAACGAGACGCCCTGGTGTGCCGAGCTGGTGGGGAAGGCAGGCACAAACGGGGCGGGAACACCGGACACGCGCCACTGGGGCGTCTTCAACATGGCAGAGAGCTACACCCCAGCGGTCTCCCACATGCGGGCAGTGAGCCAGGGCCCAGGACACCGCCTCAGTGCCTCGCCCGGGGCCCCGGTGGCCGAGGCGGCCTGTTTTGGCAGGTGCCCCACTGAGACCTCGATCCGTGAATGAAGTCCCGTATGTGTTGCTTTACTTGGAAAAGTTGGATAAGTTTCCTCAATAGCACACGATGTTTGTGGCTGGAATTGAGGCCTACCAGCTCTCACTTCCTTAGCTGACTTCCCTCCATAGGCCGGGAAGGGACCATGTGTGGCCCCTGCTGCCCGGCCCGTGGCAGGGCCCAGAGTGTGTGCCGTGGATGGCGGGGAGAGGCCTGACGGTCCTGACCAGGAACGTACCCTCTCTCTGTTCTGGGGCCGAAATCCAGGTGTGGGCAGGGTGGCGCGCCCTCCGGAGGCTCTAGGGAAGGAGGCTGCCTGCTTCTGCCAGGTGCTGGTGGCCCCCAGTGTCCCTTGGCTTGTGTGGCCCCTCTCCAGTCTCTGCTCGGCCCTCATGCAGCTCCTCTCCCATCTCAGGCCGCCCACGGGGTCGGCGGGAGTGAATGAGGGCTCAGCCCTGGGGTGGCCTGGGTCTCCAGCTTGTGGGCCTGGAAGACTGGTCTGGGGGCCCCACGGATGCACTTAGGGGTCTGGCTTTGCTGCTTCCTTGCTGGGTGACCTTAGAAGTCATGTCCCCTCTCAGAACCTCAGGGGCACTGTCCTGAAAGTGGTGTTTTGTGAGGACAGGCTGAGCTCAGGTGCAAGTGTGTCCCACGGCCCCACATCTTTCTGTCCTTCAGGCTTTGCTCTCCTCCCCGAAGGGGCCTCCTGCCTGCTGGGAATGGCCGTGTCTGCACTGCCCGTGTTCAGGGCCTGGCTACATCCCATCAGAGTTCATGTGCCCAGTCCCTTAGTCTGTCTCTGTGTCCATATTTTCTGCCCCTTTGCCTCCTTATTTCTGAGT